GGGCCAGGGAGGGCATTCTGCCCCTCAGCTCTGCTCTGGTGTGACCCCACCTGGAGTGCTGTGTTGAGCTCTGGAGCCCTCAGCACAGGAGAGACATGAAGCTGTTGGAGAGTGTCCAGAGAAGGGCCATGAAGATGATCAAAGGGCTGGAGCAGTTCTGCTATGGATGAGGCTTTGTGCATCCTGGTGAGAGGTGTCCCTGCCCATAGCAGGGAGGTTGGCTCCTGATGATCTTTAAGATCCCTTCCAACCTTCACCAGTCTGTTTTAAAAAACAATACAAAACACCAAACAACCCCAAAAAAAAACCAAAAACAAAACAAGCAAAAACAAAAAACCCAACACTCCCAACTTTTCCAAAGGGATTTAGCATATTAGCAAAGTCTGCAGTGAACTCATCCCGCTAGATCTTTTCAGTTATGACAAACCTTTTAACAGCACATTTCTGTATCCTGCGAAGTGTCATGGAGAATTAAAGCTGGAGAGAAGTTCAACTGAAATCTTTCATACTCCAAAGCTAAGAAGATCCAAACCACCTGTCTTGTTTTCACTGATGTGAAACAGGTCTGGTTATTTCTGAAAATGGAGAAGTCTGTCTACAGTCAGTGATCAAAAACTGAGGGTGGGGATGAGAGTGGAAAAAGAAAACAAAGTAAATGGGTAAATACAGCTCACTACTCCTGGCTTCCGCCTGCTGTTAATAAAGATTTTTCACTGTTATCTTTACTCTTTCAGCTTCTCTCCTCCTTGATCCAACAAGTAATAACAATCTGAGGCTTACAGCATCACACAGCTTCCTACCACCAAAGTACAATGACACAACAGGATTGAGACTAGAAAGCAGGAAGGAGGAAAGTGAGGGGAGCAGTCAGCTAAAATGAACCAAGTAGTTCTGGGAAGTTGGTGCAAAATTCCTGCTTTAGGCTCTCTGTATAGCAAATCCCATAATGATAAGGGGATCTGTGAAAGTTTCCACTGTAGCAGCATTTTTTCCTGAATTGAATCCTACCACAGCAATATCTAAGAGATGGTCTTGAGTCCTTTACTTTGCAAATCATGTGAAACGTAGGACAAAACACCTGACAGCAGTGCTGGTCCCAGCCAGAGTGCTCCTGGGGCCTCCCAGTACCAGCACTGTCAGACTTCCCATCAAGCGTCCTTCTCCTCAACGTGAAGTCAGGGCAGCAAGGAGTCCAGGGGAAGTTACGCTTCCAGAGCCAAGTGTACTTATCTCAAAGGATAAGGTGGAGCTTTTCTTTTCCCCTCTTGCAAAATTGGTTATTAAGTAATCTGTTTATGTCACACATACCAGCACTCCTAACAGTGGCATTACAGCAGTGTTCATTACCTTCAAGGAAAGGAACGTGCAGTTCCTTTAAATGAATGGAAATGGTTTTCTCACACAGGAGGTTCAGCTTAGGGCAGTGCCTCTTCCTGATGTCCCCCAAGCAAGCCTACATTTTCCCACTTGCTCTCCTTCCATGCTCTTAATCAGACATAGGCCAATCCCTTGTCTCGCCAAGTCACATTTCTGGGCACTTCTGTGCCATGTGAGTGATGGGCAGCAAAGCAGCTCTTCACCACTAACATACGGAATCAATTGAGTCCTCCCACTGACAAAGACGGTTAAGGAGAGCTGGAACAGAATAATTTTTGAATGTCAACAACTGATATCACTAATAAAACAGCAACACATTCCAGCAGAGGATCAGCCTGAGGTGTCCTCTTAGAGAAGCATTAAACAATCCCAGGAACCAGGCCAAAGGGACATACTTTTGTCAGGTATGTGCGGTTTCTGTTAATGTCACATTTACTCAGCAAGGGCATGACCGACAACTACCCTGAGCTGAAAACGAATCAACATCCTACTGACCAGAAATGCCCATTTCTTCCCCCTCTCCTTCAAAAGCAAAGTCCTTCCCTCTCCCCCAACCTGCTACATAATCCAATTAGTAGTGATGTGGTAATTCAGAGTTGCTATCTCCATCTCATAGACATAATGCAAGGTCATCAGCTACCAATAAAATGATCCCACCCTGTTTCTCTCTTCTTGCAAAGAACATACAAAAGAGGGATGCTCACAATGATGACTTCAAAATTCTGTCTTCACCTGTTTGAAATCAAATCAGTTCACAAGCAATAAAAGCAGCCTGCTTTCTGAGTATCTTATCATGCGTCCCAGTAGGGTCTGCCCCCTTCCCTCCTGCAAACTCCTGCAGCTGGAGAATCCCCAAGTGCCCTGTCCACTCTCTTCTGATAAAGGCTACAAATCCCCCTTCCCTAGCAATGGGAAAAAGGTCTCTCCTCTCTGCTCAGGTTTGGTTTTGGTTGTTTTTTTCCAGTAAGTTCAGTGAAGTTAAGAGTAGCTTTAAAGTGTCTTCCTGGGAAATGTAACAAATATTGACTGCATTGACTGTTAGATGAAAAAAATTATTGGGAGAGGAATGGAAAGAAGAGACAAGAGAGGCAAATAACTTTACAGTATGCATATTGCTGCCTCATGAAAATAGGCTAAAAATAAAAATTCGCAGAAAAAAAAAATACACACAGAGGTAACAGCTCCATTCGCTGCCACCTTCCTCCACTGAGGCTGCAACTACTGAAAGGCTTTTAAAGAAAAGCAACTTCTAACTACAGCATGAAAGTGGCTGAATTAATGGAGTGCACTTCAGAGACAACACTTTCAAGTCTCTAGATAAATGCTCTCCTGTTCAAAACCACTCCACTTGCAGTGCAGAAATCACAAAGAGAGACTTAGAACCATATGCATCAAGTGACAGCTGAAGGTCTTCACCCTGATGTTTTAGCCATTCCACTGGATCTTAAATTGGAAGAAGTTAGAATTAGATTAGACATCAGGAAGAAATTATTTAGTGTGAGGCTGATCAGACACTGGCCCAGGTTGCCCAGGGAAGTTATGGAAGCCCCATCCTTGGAAGCATTCAAGAGTTGGATGGGGCTTGGAGCAACCTGGTCTAGTGGAAGGTGTCCCTGCCCATGCAGGGGGATTGGAACGAGATGATCTTTAAGGTCCCTTCCAACTCAAACCATACTGTGAGTCTACAGTTTATTCTGTACATGCAGACAATGACCAGACACAGGGTACACGCCCATGTATCAGATACACACATACGCTACCTGTACTTACACACAGGGCACTTAGCTGTGTGGAGAGTTAGAAGTAGCTGAGGCAAGTAAGATGTCTCTATGAATTGAAGGCTATCCTACCCTAGAAGAGTCGACTAGCTGAGCTGCAGCTCTCCAGCTTCAGAGTGACACTGAGAGATGCTACTGGCCCTGCCACAGGGGGCAGCCCCTGTTGTGATTTAGCTGGGTCATCTGCAGAGGCCTGGTGAGAATCATGGCACTGCCTTTGGCACGAACACAGGAATTAGCTGGTTACACAGCTCCAAGTCTCTCTGGAGGCTCAGACAGGCAGCTACAGTTCTCAGAGGCCTGTTGTCTGCAATTAGAAATACTTGTTTCACCTCTTCTCCTTACCCCAGCGAGATGAACTACAACTGGTCTGTTAGCCCAACTAAATCAAACGAGGAAACACAGAGATACATGGAAACACAGAGATAAACACACCCCATCTAAAAATATTGCTTAAGACATTACCCACAATGTTTTCCATAGCACCTGCAGACGGTTAGGACACTCTTGCACTGCTCTTCACAAAAACTATTTGTATTATACTCCTTGTGTGTCACACATGGGCAATACACACAACAGTATGTGGCAACACTTAAGACAGTAAAATGTAAGAAATGTTCTCCCTCTCTCCCCTCTCCGATGTTTCTGCTGTGCCAAAGTATCAATTACTCTACAAGCAAGAGGCTAATACAAACTTCCTCTCACTACGAACCTGCAGACAGCAAATGGCCTAATTAAACCAAACATGATAACTTATAGCTGAAAACAGATTACTTCCTACAAGAGAGGAAGAAAAAATGGGCTTTTTCTAGTTTGATTTGCTGGAAGTGTTCTAATCCATCTTTTTGGAGATTATTTTCTTTCATATTGCTTGATCCTTTAGCCCTGACAATGACACGGCTGTAACCTTATGCCTTTCAAAACATTTCAAACCAAAAAGCCACAGGCATTTGTTTGCAAGTAAAGGAATTAGAATAAAATCCTATGTCTAAGTCAAGAGGGGAAGGATAGCACTGTGAGGTGAAATGCTGGCCTCCTTTCCCATGTAGGTAGAGTGCATAGCCTATTATCCTTTACTCCTACTCCCCCACTAGTTTATCAAGCACAGCCAACTGATCCCCATAAAATAAGAAAAAGAGAATTCTTTGCTGCAAATAATTCATTCCTATCAGCTTAATAATTTTCCACAACCTTAAACTAAACTCCTTTGAATTCCTTTTACCTTTGGGATTTCACAACATTTTTAGTTAAAGAGGAAATAAAAACACTTGCCAAGCAGTCTATTCCTTTCCTAAAAAGTGAAGAAACTATTTGCTCTCTTAAAAAGTTTCTCTTCAAAGGAAAAATCCTCTCTCTTCATGCCTCCTAAGCTAAAAAGGGCAACCCAGGCAAATGTCCACTTGCTGCCTCATGTCCAACATGACCCTCAGCACAAATTCTGCTGTTTTTTCCAGTTTGCTTCTCCATCTGCAACACGCCTACCCCCCCTACTCCAGAACCTCTAAGTGATATGCAAGCACTGCCAAACCATATTCATGGATGAAAGAAAAACAAAGAGCCCTGATATTTTCCAGGCACAATGCAAGCCACAGCAAACGTGATTTTGTGGGAAGTGGGAATGTATGCAAGTAGCATGGAACAACATTCCCTCCTGAAGTGAAAAAGAGGATTTCTTGAAAAAGTCAGTTGCACCCCAACTGAGTGCTGGTGTTTCAGTCCATTTTAGCATTAACTACTGGGTAAAACAAAGGCTCCCTTTTTCTTTGCTAGCCAACTGTGCGGATCTAACACACAACCACAAACTGTGAAGGCACCCTTTCTCCCCAGCAGCCCGAGATCTCTTACCTTCCACTTCTTCTTCGTCACATACATGTTTAAGGAAGGAAGCTCCTCTATCCAGTACTGCCTCGTCCTCCATCCTATAGTAATAGAAAAGAAAAAAGGAATGCTCAGACTTCTCCTGGAGTGAGCTGTTTGAACCAGCCCAGGTCCTGGGCAGGTTAACTTGCAAGCTGTTGTTCATGTTCCTGTGGACACTGCTGTTCTCCTTCCAGTGCTGGCTGTTCCTTCATAGAGCTCCTTTCAAATGGTGTTTGGATTAAGCTGGCCTCACGTAGCTTGAATTCTAACCTCGAGAGGACATCAGTTGTGACAGGTGTCAGAAAGGTAATCCCAGCTATAAGTCTCTGGGTTTGTTTCCTCTTTCTTTTTTCTCTTTTTTTCTCAAAAGGACATATACACACAGAGGCAAGTTTGGGGCTGTCTGTACAACAGCCAAGAGTTTGCAGAATTCCAATATCCCGTTAAAGTTTTTCTCCAAGACCTGGGCTGCAGACCAACGGACACAAGCAAGCACACACACTACACAGACACACACGGTGGAATGCACAGTGGGACACCAGCCTCTACCCAGTCTCTTAATACCAGCAAAGCACAGTTGTCTGTTGGGAGGCAAGCTGTGTGTCACATGTGCCTCACAGAAATCTGACATGAGGATTATCCACAGACCCAGCTACAGTCAGCCAGACCATCAGAGCAGTCATTTATGTGTGTCACCCATTCATTCATCCATCTGGGGATGGGTTTTATTAGTTGCCTTCTTTCCCCTCCCCCTCTTATCTGCTTATCTGCACCAAAAAGACTCCCAATTCTGTGCCTCCACCACAGAAGTCCTTTTCGGCACTGCCCAGAACTGGTGCTGCTACGCTTCACCCACAAAATAAAATCCTGAAGGCTTTCCAAGGGCTCATCTGTAAACTCACTTTTGACAAGCAAATAAAAAAATGCTCAAATAGCACAGTAAAAAACAAATAATGCAGCTATATTTAAATAATCTTCTTTCATAGTGCCTAGGGGCTAAGCACACTTTTGCTGCTCACTGCTGGACAGTCACTGTGGATGCTTTCAATCGTAACACAACTGGAGACTGAGCTGCTAAGCTGTTTTCCTAGAGAGAAACAGGCATATAGGGGTAAGGAACAAGAAACATTACCTTTTTTCTTATATTTCCTAGATGAAATAAGGATAGACTTGGAACAGAAAGAGATGAAGCCATCAGAAGTTCTTTGCATCCCTGTTGCTTTCACTTGGGATCCCATGAGATCCTCCAAGTGCAGTAGCAGCAAACACTAATAATACATTTGTTTCAAAGGCACACTCAAATTCAAGGGAGTATAAAAACTGAACAGATGAATACCAAGAAAACAGAACTGCAGTATCTTAGGATATTTACCTTGCATGTCAACACCTACCTGAGAAAGAAAGAAAAAAAAGAAGAAAGAAAGGAAAGGAAAAAGGAAAAGGGAAAGGAATAGGGAAAGGGAAAAAGAATCAGCCACAAGAAGTGCCAGAGCCCTCATTTTCTGAAAGGAGTTGCAGAGCAGGCAGTCTCCCACCTTTACTGAGTTTTCCTGTACCTCAGCCCCCTTTGCACCATTGGCCTGACACTTGGCTCTTAATCTGCAGATCAGCCCCCATGAACAAGTCTCAGATGTGTCACGGATAAAAAAGAACAAAGCGAAATAGGTCAGATTCAAAGCCAGTAACTCAGCATATGGAAATACACATTTTTTAATTTGGGATTATTAGATGGTGGCAAAAAACACAGCATCATACCCAGAAACTAACATGAACACCAGCTCCGATGTTTAGCTCCACTTCAGACCTTCGGAACCAGGCCACCCCCCCTTCACACAGGCTGTTTCTGCCCCCACTGTCTGCCAGAGAGCCAGGAGCCAAAGGGCTTGAAGAATACGTTTCTCTGACTGAAGAAAGGTACCATTTCCTGAGCAGTTGCTGCCTGTGCCAAGGGGTAGGATGTGCT